AGAGAGAGAGAGAGAGAGAGAGAGAGAGACTGAGAGAGATAGATAGACAAATGGGCAAAGATGGGGAGGGGTGAGAGAGGGAGAAAGAGTAAAAATTACTTCTTAAAAAATTATGTAGGCTATATTTTATGACAGAATCTGCTTAAAAGAATCTTTTCTCAACAGGACATTTACTGCCTCTGCCAACACAAGTCGTTCACTGTCCTTCTCAGTGTATGAAAATGATAATTTATCTAAATTACGATCACTAACAACAAACTCAACCAATGTTTTTCTTCTTTTTGTTCTGTTCAGGTGGCCTGCCTGCCTCAGTCCTCGAAGACCTGGGTTCGGATCAGCTTGCCAGTATCAGCACTGTTGCTATTGCCAATATGGACACGACCACGTTCTCTACGGTACGATTTTTCAGTGATTGACTGTTCTCCTTACTGTTCTGGGACCAGCTGCTCTCCACTAGCGGGTTTTTGGAGGTTACTTCTCATGTTCAACAGTTGTAGAAAAGTCGAGCCCAAGGAGATTACATTTGACATTTCAGGCCAAGACCTTTCTGCAACTCTCTCTCTCTCTCTCTCTCTCTCTCTCTCTCTCTCTCTCTCTCTCTCTCTCTCTCTCTCTCACACACACACACACACACACACACACACACACACACACACACAAACACACTCACACGATGCCTCACAATGTTTCCTCGCCCCCCTTACGCAACGAACTTGAGTGGGAATAGAACGCAGTATTGTTAAAATGGAGTTGGCTAATTTTTCTCTGAGTTTCTTTTCCGTGATGGCCATACCTTGATCGTCTACAAGTTATCGCAGCTGGCTAATTACATTGTCTGCTCAGAGCTATGTTCTAGAACAAGCAGCATCAGGTAATGTTTCACTAACATGTTTTTCCAAGTAAACTACCCTCTGTCGACAGAAAAACGTCGCTTTTTAACGTGATGACCAGCTTATTCAAACGGCCAATCGAAGAAAACTAAATGTGAGGCAGCGTGGTGGAATCAGGCGCTCGTCAAAATAATCAAAGTGAAGAAACTAGCATTTTTCTGCTGGTTTGTCAGTTTTTAATGAATTTTTGTTTTTTGGCTCAACGCCTTTCATGCCCATTAAAGAACACATTTCTTTGAGGATTTGACCGAAAAACTTTTGATTAAAGGCGCAAAAAAAAATATATTGTCTGTTACCACAGTCTCTTAAGCTAAGGAAATAACTAATCTTTGGTGGCCATTTTTACACTGATTTTATCTCTGAAACCAGGCGACCACCACCTCCTTCATTTGCAAATATCTCGATTTGTATTCAAGATAAATGGATTTTTTTTCATCCAAGTAAAGACCAGTGAACAACCTTTAAGATGCTACCAGTAACTCTACATGCCCAAAAATTGACGAGAGCCTGATTCCACCGCGTTGTGCCACAATGTACTTTGTAGGCTTCAGTCGTAGAATACACGGTTCAGTTCGTAAATGACTTAATTAATGATCGAGCAAAGAAGTCGAAGATTGTATGCATACTTTTTAAAAATCGTATCCGTATGTCGTGTTTTACTATCGTATCCATACGACGTGGGGAACTCTGTGCCACCACTTAACCCTATCCGCACGTCCTGTTTTACTATCGTATGCATACGACGTGGGGAACTCTGTGCCACCACTTAACCCTATCCGTACGTCGTGTTTTACTATCGTATGCATACGACGTGGGGAACTCTGTGCCACCACTTTCCAAAGAGGAAATTTACTCGTTAATCCGACCCGTACACTTTGCATAGCAGTCTGTCAAAATGATTGTTTTTAGAAAGTTTCAAAGAGATCTTCGTACTAGAAGTATTCTAAAATGAGAAGAACACAACCCCGGGGTACAAAATGACCCCAGGGTGTACGTATAGGGTTAAAATAAAATAGACTATCGGCGCCTATGGAGTATAGTAGTGGTTAAGCTTTTTGCAATTGCAGCCAGAAGTGAAAGATCTTGTCAGTTTGTTAGCGTTTGAGTGCCTAATCAGCTGCTTGCACTGTATGCTTCCTGGGAATCTGAGAATGTGATGAGTGTCCTAATAATACATGTATAGTGTGTAAAGCTCACAGAGCTTGCTGTCGAGTGGGGATATGCGCTATACAAAATGCTATTTATTATTATTATTAT